AWWAAYKRRGGRAATAAGCCCAGCAAATCAAGGAAMAAAGGCGCAATAACGAAACTAAAGCTAAAAATACACTCATTTTATTAAGGTGTCAGGTCGATAGGTATTACCATGGGAACTGGTTGTGAATCATTGACTCGACACGGTTGTTCCAATGGAAAAATGCATTAACATATTACAATTTCAAGAGTTTTCTTACACTCTRAACCTTTTAGCACTTTATTTGTATGAGGTTCGGTTACCGAGATGTACGTTCACTCAGGAAGTGTTGCCGAGTATATCATTACTAAAACGGGTTTACACTGTCGCTAAAACGTTTACATAGATAAAGGTGTCTGTATGAATGGTGAAGCACAAGGGTAAACTTTATTTCTTAACAAAAAATAGCGCAAATTAAATGATTACGGGAAAAAACAGGAAGTGAATGGAGAGATGAAGTATGTTCTTGCAGAATGGATTTAATTTCTATCTTTCCAAATCCAAAAAAGACACCAATTGAAACTCCGAGTGTTTTTTTTCGGGTTGTTCTTGGTTTAGCGACAAATTGCCGACTTTGAGACGCACAGAACTATTAAAAAAAGAGACGACGAGACGAACAGTTGTGCGCGTTGACCGGAACTAAGCCTTGATTGAGATGCGGCGAAGAGTCAATCAAGGGATGTCGACCTACACTGAGACATCTTTGCAGTAAATACCTACATTTTTCAAATGACCGAGACAAAAATATTATCACTTTGATAGAAATACCCAAAATRAAATAGCTATTAAATTATAGTCGAAGGAGACACCTGACTATGTTTCCAGAGAAGCGCTGGCTGAATTACATGGATTACTATTGTTTTTGGATAACATTTAATTTATCGCTGACTCAGAAACGGAAATGAAAAAGTACTCTAAGAAAACCCATTCGTTGGAAATGAATCCAAAAAAAGGGAAAAGATAGTAAACAACCATTCAAACCTACAAAGAAAAACACTAATTAATACTTTACAATAATAACAATGAAGACTGAACATTATTAAAGTCACCACAAAATGGCAGATAACAGAAGGAATCAATCATGGCTCTTAATATATACCCATTGCGCATGTTCAGATGTCTTATCTCAGAATCTTTAACATGTATCAAGCTGATCCCWCATTAATTCACTCTTTACACTGATCAAGCATCAATGTCCGAAAGTCGGTAGGTTTTCCATCTTTTACRGTGTAAAATTCATTTTTGATTCAAACTATTTCATTAGAAACACTGACGCACCTCACACTAGTTTTACGCTAGTTATCGCTTCTATCCCACATCAGTCAGTAATCATGTAGMGTCACTTTTCCGCTTTCGTGTTGTGCACTTGTTAAAATGACTTTCAAAAACCCATGAATTACTCTTTAAGTATTTTCAAATTACCACTCGCTCAAACTCTGATCTACTGACAYGGTAACTATTGCGCAAGTGATTAGGCCAGGTGTTTATACACGTAAATATTGTCGGTAAATCACCGGCAACAAACGTTCAAAGTCAACACGTAAAACAAACGCAAAGGTTTAAGTGCCTTTCGTTAGGCTACTATAAGGTTTTCATACTGGGATTAAACAAGCTGTTTCCTTTCCTAGGCAATATGTTGGATAACTATTTACCATTATAATTCTCTGTCCGCGTAAAYGTAGTGATRCTGATTGCTAAGGTGTCGGGATGGAAATGGTCAGTTGTTGSGTCATTTGTTGGACTGATGGTTTTGACTGTTTTGGTGATAAATGACAACGAAAGGAAATAATCAACAGTTTAGCAGTAGATATACGGATGACAATCTATAACGTTCGCTATAATGATTTTGCTTTGTACTAATCAATTGTGAATTACACTAATCCCATTAATCGTGTTCTTTTTTATCAGGAGTCTTCTTAGCCAATCTAACAAATGAACACCATACATAAAGGATGAAAGACCTAACTGACAGAGGACAACTGAGAGCAATCAARCGTCACGCAGRAAAAACTACTTTASAGAAACCWCATCAAAAYAKATCAGACCAACAATGAACTTCACAGAGATGAACTCAACCAGCGGGAAAAACGCTACAGTGAGTGCAACTACAAGTGGTTCTATTGCTGTTGCGATAGTTCTGGGTCTCGCCAACATAATTTCCATTTTCTTTGGCAGCTGGGGAAATCTTCTTGTGGTTGTAGTTGTGATTTGCAACCGTGGTCTTCACTCGAGTACAAACTTTTTCATCGCTAGCCTTGCGTCTGCTGATTTGCTTGTAACTTCMATYTGYATGCCMATATTTTTTGTWTAYAAYGTYATAACCTGGCCAGTWTGGCACTTTGGCGGGACTGTATGTAGAATCATCTCGTATCTAGTCCATACATCAGTCATGGCTTCAGCTTTGAGTCTGCTTGCAATCTCATACGACAGATTTCTTTCCATCTTTTTTCCAATGAAACGAATTGTTACTCCTACAAGAGCAAAAGGAGTGGTGGCTTTCATCTGGTGCGTATCGCCTTTTCTTCTAGTTCCCTCTCTTCTCCATCAYGATGTCGTCAAAATGACATACAATCAACAGGACGCTTTGATGTGCACCGAAACATGGGACACAAAAGAACAGTTACATAGCTATCAACTTTATCGCATTGCCTGCTACTATCTTTTCGTTTTACAAATTTCTGTTCTTTACTTCATAATTGGTTGTAAGTTGTATCGAAGAGAGCCACCAGGAGTTCAAACATCACAAGGAAAAGCCAAGTTAAGTCAAGATAAAAAGAAAATTCTTCAAATGCTCTTCTCAGTCGTGCTTCTTTTTGCCTTTTCATGGCTGCCTTACATTATCAACAAGATGTTGAACATCTTTCCTCCGACAAACGACTTCAAGTCCCCGGACGTCTTTGTCTTTGTCGGGAATTTTCTCGGRCTGCTTAACAGTGTTGCCAATCCCATTGTTTACGCCGTCCTAAATAAAAATTTCAGAATCGCKTTCAGACATGCAATAAGATGCCACTTCAGGTACGAGAGAGARGAAAGAAGACATCAAAGTATCATCAGCTTGCGMAACACGACACAGACAAGGGATCGAAAAAGAACCCTCAGYAACTCATCTCGTTTTACTGGAATCATGGATGCCAAGAGAAAGAATTCMGTATTYAGTACGGCGTCTATTGAGTGGGCAACATTACCAGGCACAGAGGAACCTCAAATTCGATGTCTTTCTTTTACAAAAAGCGATGACKGCGATTCCGACGTGTTCTCTCGGTCAAATCCAAACCGTCGATCAATCACTAAACCTTTTCATTCAAGTCAAAGGCGGGTAAGTTTTGGACCCGAGATATCAAACGGCGAAGTGGCGCTAGAACTACAATGGGAAGCTACTCATCCAAARATAAACAGAACTAGCCATAGAGGTAGCACTAATAACGGAACAAAGCCGCGCTCTTCAACATTATCAAGTCTTGGTCCGATTAAGGAACTGAACTCAAATTTATTTGACTTGGAAGAAGTTAAGGTGAACCAAGGCTTTGACTTTGATAACTGAAGTTTTGTAACTACAGTGTAGTATTGGGATAGAGAACAGGTGGAGTGCTGGAAACGKTAGGAATTTCCTGGCTTAAAATTAATCAAATATGCTGAGCTTTATTCACGCAAGAACAGCCGACCACTCCTCAAAATCCGAACTTAATGATATTCTAATTCACAAGGCAAAGGCTTTCATCTAGCAGTACAAACTCATTAATTAGAACAGAAGGAACTATAAATGAGCGATAACTCATCATTAGTTTTAGACATGTGTAGCGAATGACTATATGAAGAATAAAATAATGTCCGGGAACACCCAAATATTAGACCTTTTTAGCATAAAACATCAAGATAATACGGTAATTAAATATCATATTACTCACGATGGGCTTATTTTCCTAGTTACGAAAAGACAGCGGATGCTTGCGTCTTAAAAGGACACAAATCACATTTACTGACAGTCATTCCAGAGCAGATGGTAAAAAACGCGCCCAACATAACAAAATGCACTTCTTTACTCAATAACAAGTTAGAGAACATGACATTTTGAGMGTTAATACAGGATTTTAAGCGCTTGTTTAGATAAAAGATAAGGAGCAGCCATAAGACCGACGTGGGTCTTTGCATGAACACCGCGCAACCTTGACATTGAKCTTGTAGCAACAAAGAACTTAATACAAAAGATTCTTTTTTGCGCGAAAGTAAAGAAGCAATATATGAAATTGCGCTATTACAACTATGGTATATTWCATCCTTAGTAGTATAGACTTCAATATCAGCAATTATTTGAGCAAATGATGAAGTGTTGCCCCCGTCTTCCTGTACTCGTACCTCCTGTGATAAATCTTATCTTTTTCTTCGTKCKCGCACTGGATTTATCKKGMMTTTGTTCTCCGTAATTTTCTGTTCTACTATACATTATATAAATCCTACAATATTGACAAGCCAACGAAAAAAATCTGTCCGACTCGTCTTTGRCTCCAAATGGAGCCCGAAAGGGTACATGGGAAAATGCATTACCAGAAACGCGATAACATAGGGGAGGGGGGGTGGGATGGAGATTTTGACTTTTATTTCACAAATTTCTGATTTGTGATGCGTGATGGCTTCACTAACTAACATGGCATTGTGTAATACCTATAGTAAAGGCATTTGATAATAAAGAGGATTTACAAGTGACAAGAGATTGAATGAGGAAAAGAAAGAAAACCAAGACATTGAGAKATTATTCTAGTTGAATTTTATTTCATAATACTTAAGCCACAAGAGCAGAGGCAGTGGATGACTCACTGGAAACAAAAAAACGAAAAATTCATTAACAATCCATCAAGTCTTGAAGATTAAAAAATATAGACAAGCAATAATTAAACAAATGCCTCAAAATTAATGATAGTTGTAAAATAAGCTTCAATTTTTTTCTTAAATTGATTGAATTTGACAGCACATCTAGTAAAAATTGATCTTCTAGTCAATTTAGACATGTAATTTCTTAGTTTGAGGAACAATATTTTTCAGTTGCATTATAAGTGAAAACATTAATCATGCGAAAACAAGATTACATAGTCAGATACTAAAGACAAAGATATGATCAAACATTGTCATGGCTACAGAAATGAAAAAAWTWMMAMCC